AGGCCATGGGTGCTGGGAATCAAATACAGGTCCTCATGCTTGCAAGGACCGACTGACTCATCTTCCCAGCCTGGCTGAGAGTTTAGGTGCATGCCAACCTAGATCTAGAAAGGGTGGGGTTTGGAGTTGGAGATACCTCCTTCTCACCAGTTGTTAAGCCTCCCTAAGCCTTCATTTCCTTTTGAATGGGGACACTCACCATTGCATCTTAATGAGGGTGTGAGGCGTCAACCAGAGCCCTCATGCGGAAGGTTGAACATGCAGCAAGCAAGCACTTAATGAGGGCTGGTCCATTATCATGATTGCTATTAGGTGGAAGTTAGCTCTCTATTGGCGGAACTCAGAATGCCCAGTCACAGTAGAGTGAGTAACCTCCGTTTCTTCCCCATCCCCTCTCTCTGCCATATGCAACAGCCCTCAAGCCCAGCCCTATTGTGGACTAGTTCTGTACATAGCTAAGGAAAGACAGCTAGAAAGAAACAGGAGAGGAGCACAGTGCTTATGCATGCATGTGCGCGCACACACACACACACACACACACACACACACACACACGAGAGAGAGAGAGAGAGAGAGAGAGAGAGAGAGAGAGAGAGAGAGAGAGAGAGAGTGTTACCTTTTAAAGTACGTTCATTTTATTCGAAACCTACAGCAGGCTTCCTGAAGAAACAGTGAAATGGTGCTTATGTCCGGCCAGAACTCTGCCCACCTCAAGGATGTGCAATGAGTTAGTGCTAGCCTTGTCAGATGGCCTTCTGACCCCCACAGTGAAGCAAAGAGGATGCAAAGAGAAAGCCTTTTCCTCAGCTCAGAGTTGGCATGACGGATAGGAGAAAATGTACACACTGTTTTACTCAGCACGAAGAATGAAATTACATCATCTGTAGGGAAATGAAGTTGAACATGATCATATTAACCCAAACAAGCCAGACTCAAAATGTCAAGTTTTTTCTCCCATGTAGAACCTGGATAGCACACACACCATATGCAATTAGGAGGAGAAGCAGTTTGTGAGAGGGAGAAGGGAAGTGGAGGAAAGAGAAATGGGATGCTGATTTTGGCCTCGGTACACGATTAGATATGAATTAAAGTGTCATTATGAAACTAGTCTATTTGGTGGAACTGGCATAATTGGGCAAAGGTGCTGTAGTTGGGGCTCAGTTTGTATCATATTCTCAGACTCTGGGCATTTCATGTTTGCACGTAAGCTTGGCAGAAGAGCCAGGAGGGGAGAGGAAGGCTTGGCTATTAAGACTTGGGCTGTCTATCTGAATGGCCAGGCAGTGAACTCTTCAAGCTTTGAGGGTGGTTTAAAGGTGGCTCTGTTGCACAGTGGATAGTGCATTGGATTTCTAACAACAAGAGTGGTTTAAAGTGCGTCGCTGATTCCCTATCAAAATTATGCTTGGAGAGAAGGAAGAAAAATGCCTAACTCCTTCCTGTGTTTCCCAGTGACTGCCACCTGCCTGAGAACCCTCTGTTCATCACCTGTGACGGCCGGAGGGACCACACCCTCGGGTAAGTGGGTCCAGAATCATTTGTGTCCAAAGAATGCCTCCCCAAGAGGGCCTGCCCTAGCGAGGGTGGAGCAAGGAGTCTTCAGACAGACAGACAGACAGACAGACAGACAGACAGACAGACGAGGTTCCTATTCTAGCTGAGCCATTTACACCTGGGTGGCTTCCAAACACACTGGCAAATGTTTTTGAGCTACAGCTCTTCCTTCTGACAGTGAGAAAAAACACACGTAGAGTTCTGGAATAGAGGCACGGGCTACAGATGATGACGGGCTTAAGGCAGCCAGGCAGACAGTTGTTCTCTAAGTGGTCATAGGTATCCTTAATGAGTGTCACCATTACTGTGGCTGAGGGACCTTCCCCAGGCTCCATCCTGAAAAAAGCATTTCATTCACAAGGTGGGAAGAAATGTTCTGTTAAAATTTCTGAGGAAAAAGTCAGAATGCTTGGTTTATATTATTAGAGCTGATGTCTCCTGCTGGAGCCGGGAACCAACCTCCAGTTCATGATGTTATCAATCAAAAGGAATACCACGTGTTGTTAATAAAATAAAACAGTAACATAAATAATAAAAGTACTTGGAGGTAGCCATTGTACCAGGAACTCAGAGCACGTGGCCTGACAGCCGTCTGGGTGCTGAACACGTCTTTGTAAATATGGCTGAGCCTTGGAGAGAGAAGGGCTGGCTGTTCTGGGAATGTGCCGTGGTGGCCCAACCAGGGCCCAGCAGAGTTCCCTTGAAGAACCAATGAGATACTTAAGGGCAAAAACCTTAAATATTCTAGATACTTAAGTGAGGGTTTTACCGTGAAAGATCCTAAGGAGATTTTGGTGCATTGAGAGACTTAAAAGCTGAAGGAAGGGTTCCACCCAGTCTTTGTTGTTTACTTTATTTAAAATAAGTAAGTCTGGTTGTTGCTTTTTTTTTTTTTTAAATGAGCATCTTTAAGATGCTTTAAGATTGCTGTCTGTGGCCGGGCGGTGGTGGCGCACGCCTTTAATCCCAGCACTCGGGAGGCAGAGCCAGGCGGATCTCTGTGAGTTCGAGGCCAGCCTGGGCTACCAAGTGAGCTCCAGGAAAAGCGCAAAGCTACACAGAGAAACCCTGTCTCGAAAAACCAAAAAAAAAAAAAAAAAAAAAAAGATTGCTGTCTGTGTCTTCCCTAGGGCCTGTCATTCCCTTATCCTTAAGCATTCTGAAGCCTGGGTGGTTCTTCTAGGCATCTGTGGTTTAGGATAGCTAAGACACAGTTTTTTTTTTTTTTTTTTTAAAGACAGCATCTCATGTAGTCCAGGCTGGCCTTTAACTCACTGTGTAGCTCAGGCAGGCCTTGACCTCTTGATTTTCTTATCTCTAGCCTCCAGGTGCTAGAGTTACAGGCAGCTGTACCCAGTTTGAGATCTCTGAACTGGAAAATGTATTTTAATTAGATAACGGATTCTAGCGTATGTCTTTATGGATGAGTCAGTCCACCTACATGCTGCCAGCCTCAGTAGGTAGAGAGCTGTCTTGACCTCTTTGGTGAAATATTGCAATACATTTGTAGTTTGATATTCTAGAAGTACTTTTACTCCTACTGTGAGCTCTGAGACCACAGGAAAGAAGACATTTCTTTTTCCCTTCTGGTGCTGGGGTTTGAACCCAGGACCTGTGCACATGCCAAGTACACATTCTGCTATACCCATAGCCTCAGAAACATCAAGTTTTGTAAGGGTTGACGTCTAAGCCTTAGAAATATACTCACCAAAAGATTTTGTGGAGCAAAGGTTTTTCTAAAGTTATGTTTGCTGTCTGTCGACTTGTAGATGTTAAAATCCCAATATCTCAGGCAGTATTAATGTGTGTCTATCTTCATCAGCCAGTATTAACATGTACCTTCAGCTCAGTACCTCAAGGGGCTGGTGGTCTTCTTGGGTTTGATCATTTTATTCCTCTCTCTTTTCAACAGCTCAAAAGTGCAGAAAAATGATTATCACAGGAATCTGACTGTGTTCATGAGTAAAGATATCAGGAAAAACCTGAACTACACAGAAAGAGGCGTGTTCTACAGCGCAGGCTCCTGGGCGCCGGTGAGAACTTCCTGTTATCAATGAAGGAGGATGGACCACATCTCAGGACAGCTTGCTTGAGAGTCCCTGCATATTGTTGTCCATACAGTCATCTGGGTTCGTGCCAGGCCAGCGAATGTCCTTGGTCTCTAAATGTGCTGTATTCCAGAGATGTCCTAAGGCATAAATGTGGGCTAGTCACAGGGGCTTCGGGCATCTAGACCAGCCCTGCTTTGACCTCAGGCAAGCGTGCTTGCTACGTCGAAGGCTTCCTACATAGTCCCATGCTGGCAGACACCATTGCATGTGAAATACATCCATAGGGTCATTTCTCCCCCCAGACAAAAATCTTACTTCGTAGTTAAGGCTAGCCTTAAACTCATGGCAATCATGGTCCTCCTGTCTCAGCCTTCTGAGTGTTAAGATGACAGGCAAGTGCCACAGTGTCCCCCTTCAGATGGGGTCATCTTGGAAGTCACGTTACTGTGGGGATGAAAGGGGAAGGGAAAGAGACTCACTCTGTGGGAAATTTGGGAACAGTGGTAGCTTTTGTGTGGGTAGAATATGATACAAGCTGTGGTGTGTTGGAGGGAGGGTGGCAGGGAGGCCATTTTTTTTTTTTTTTTTTTTTTTTTTTTTTTTTTTTTTTTTTTTTTTTTTTTTTTTTTTGTTTTTACCTCAGAGGCCACTGGGGAAGGCATCATGGAGGAGGGGCACGGAGGGGAACTCTAACAGTGAATAGCATTTCACCAGCTGAAGAAAGCGTTTCTGGTGGTGGGCTGGGGAAGTTTCAGGATGTTTGGAGAGCCAGGTAGTTTGATTGGCTTGGAACTCAGGACAGAGATGTGACTGCTGCAAGACTTGGAAATAGGTAGGTGCTGGGTTGTGGTTGTCCCCAAGACCAGAAGGGTTTAGACAACAGCGGGAATGCCATGCATCCGGATGGCGCAAGGGCTGTGGCAGGGCCAGCTTCCTGGGGCTCAACCTGCACAGTCCCATGGGAGTGTCCCTTGCTAGGTTTGATAAAAAAGAGCCCATAGTTTCCTACTCTGCTGTCCTGGCCTTAAAATTCTTACTAGTTGGTGAGTTTTGATTTTGCACTGGACTCCACAAGTTATGTCACTGGTCCCGAGCTTGGGAACTCCTGCTAACGTACAAAGTGCAGGTAATTTTACAGATGCTCTTGTAGTTGTCTCCTCGGGGGCCAATGTCTGAGGGGGCGGGCTGCACTCGTTATTTTACTTGTTGCTGGGGTAAGAACCTGAAAAAAGGAAGGTTTATTTTGAGTCACTGTTGGAGAGGGCAGAGGTCCATCACAGTGGGAAAACCTGGCAGTTTGTGGCTATGGCAGCGGAAGTGTGAGGCTGCTTGCTCACATCTTCACAGTCTGAGAGGAGGGCAGAGGGCAGGGCTGCCTGGGCTCCGTTCCCATTCTCCTTTTTATTCAGTCTGGGTCCTCAGAGGGTGGCATAGTGCCGCCCACATTCAGAGTAGGTCTTTCCTCCCCCCGTTAATCCTCCCTGGAAATGCCCTCACAGACACCCGCAAAGGTGTGTCTCCTGGGCGTTTCTAAAGCGATGAAGATGGGCATCACAGAGACTTGGTCTTCCCAGTGTATGTCTCGAGCGTTGATAGCTGACAGTAGATGACGTAGTGCTCTCTGCATGACTGTGCAAGCCAGAGCCGGGCATCGGACCAAGCGGTTGGTGTACAGCCTGCTGGCAGGATGATAGCAGGGGAGACAGAAGACTTGTTGCCCACCAGCAGGTCCTTACATCAGTGCTTCCCCTGAGCCTGGGCTGGCCGGCCTGCTTCCATGTTCTCAGCTGGATCTGCTTTGCTGGCCTCTGCTGGAGCCTATGCATCTTCTCTGGTTTTATGTCGCCCTTTGGTGGATTTAGAGTTGTGTTCCCTTCACTTGGATGGATGAAGTGTTTACTGAGCTTCCTAAGGACCACCCCAGTTTTGGGCTTGTGTCTTTGCAGTCGGAACTTCAAGACAATTTGGTAGCCCCACACTGTATATGGTATGCCACACTGGTGATCTCAATACTTAGGATGCTGAGGCAGGAGGATTGCCATGAGTTGAGGCCAGCCGAGGCTATAGAATGAGGTGCTGTCTCCAGGCAAAAGCAAAACTAAGTACATGAAAAAGGACAGTTTAGAACTCTAAGCTTGGCGGCCGGGTGTCCCCAGGTTCCCTGGCACAGACCACCAGCTCTGTGAAGGACCGCTCCTGTTTCCTAGGTACCTTGAAAGTCAAAGCAAATAGTCAGCATCTCACTGTGGGTGTGGCTCAGAGCCCTGGTTCTCAACCTTCCTGATGCTGTGACCCTGATACAGCTCCTCATGTGTGGTGACCTCCCCCCCCCCCCGCTCCCCGCCACATTTAGTTGCTACTTCCTAACTGTAAGTTTGCTACTGTTATGAGTCATAATACAAATATTTTTGGAAATAGAGGTTTGGCAAGGGGGTCACGACCCATAGGTTGAGAACCCCTCACTTAGAGGGTAGGAATTTTTAGAATCCTGGTGTTGTTCCAGTTCATTTGTTTAAGAAAAATGAACTATTTATTTACAAACATAATTCTGGTTCTAGACTGGACAGGCTTGCCTTTCCTAAAATTTTGGTCTGTAAAAATTCTTTTTTTCCAGGCATGCCTTTAAGTTCCAGCACTTGGGAAGCTGAGCCAGGCAGCTCTCTGAGTTCAAGGCCAGCATGGTCTATGCAGTAAGTTCTAGGCCAGCAAATAGATGAGATAATGTCTAAAAAGAAAAAAAAAAATCTCTTGTTGGGTTTGAATCTCAAATCAATGCAGACTGCTGACTTTGAGGAAGTCATAGACGACTCTTCTCCTGTAGCCCATCGTCTCAGGCTGTTTCCTGTCATCATTCCTCAGCCCATCTCAGTGTGACTCCGCTGTCCCTATTGTCTGGCCTAAGCTAGCACATTGAAATGAACAGATGTTTTATATTTGTCAGCGCTTGAGAGAACTCATTTTATTTGCCAGAGTCCTGTGTTTCCTGTTGACAATGCTGTGGATCTTCACCTCTAAATTATCCTTTCATTTCAGGAATCTGTAACCTTCATGTACCAGGCTCTGGAGAGGAACCTGAGGACGATGTTCATGGGCAGCTCCGAGACTCATCTAAAGCACGTCTCCAGCCCCTCTGCCTCCTACTTCCTGTCGGTCCCCTATGCCAGGCTTGGCTGGTAAGGATGGGTTCATTAGATTGGGGGTGTTGTATGCCTTCATCAACTTTGGGGTGGCATCATTTGTGTTACCAGTGAAACCTTGCTTTCCCTATATTTTGGAAGAAATTAGGAAACAGAAAAATGGATTCATTTAAAATTTGAGTGAACTGGGGACAAAAAGAAATCTAATTTCCTTCCTACTAATCCATGGCTATCTCACAGAAGGTTGGGGACAAAGGCTGGAACATGAGTCGGTTTAACTCTAAGACATGTGCCCTGCTCCTCCCCTGGGGAAAGTGGATCTGGGCCCCAAGTTGCCTTCATTTTGTTAGAGAGTTTTTGTGCAAGTCCAGACTGAGGAAGTGTCTGTCTTTGGCCTGCTTTCTACTGCTATGATAAAACACCATGGCCCAAAGCAGCCTGGCTTATGTCTCCAGGTCATAGTTACTCATCAGGGGAAACTAAGGCAGGGACCCCAACAGGGCACGGACCTGGAGGTGGGAACTGAATCAGAGGTCATGGAGGAAGCTGCTTCTTGGCCTTTTCCTCATGGCTTGCTCAGCCTGCTTTCTTACACAATCCAGCACCACCTGCCCAGGGGTGGCACTGCCCAAGTAGTCTGGGCCCTCCCACATCCATCAGTAATCAGGAAAACGCTTCATAGATTTGTCTATGGCCAGTCTGATGGAGGCATTTTCTCAGTTGAAGTTCTCTCTTTCCAGATGTCCCCGACTTGTGCCAACCAGACAAAAAAACCAGCCAGCACAGGGACTTTAAAAAATGTTTTTAAGATTAAAAACATTTTTTAATGTATTTGAGTGTTTTGCCTGAATATATGTTATGTGCACCATGTGCCCCTGAGGGCTAGGAAGAGGGCATCATATTCCCTGGAACTACAGGTACAGACCGTTATGAGCCACCATGTGGGTGCCTGGTGCCAATGCCCTTAACCACTGAGCCATCTCTCCAGTCCCAGAGAATGGGTTCATAAACACCACAATTTTTGAAAGAGAAAAGAATAATTTGTTTATTAAGAGAGTTTAGGATTCTTTTGATTTGGAACCTAGTCACGTGCAGGAAAGTGACTGTTCAAGGTGATTTGGCCACACTGCTGTGTCTCCTCAGTGCGGTTTCTGATGGCCCGTTATTGGGGGGTCACTGATACATGCAGCAAACACAGGGGACTGGGAGGTGAATCCTGCCTCTCTGCTGTCTCTTAGCCCCTTCGCTGAGGAGCCACAGGTGGGGTGCTGCAGGGCTGGCAGCCACAAGAAGCAGGACCTTCCCTGCTGGCTGGCCCTAGCCGCAGGGACTCTGCTCTGGCCCTGGCCCTTACACCACGCATCTTAGAAACTGTTTTGTCCTTTCTCTCTATGCCATGTTACCCCCTCCTCCCATGACCATGTGAGCTGGAATTAGCATCGCTTTTGTTCTTTCCAGCCCTAGGGTAACATGTGAACCATTGACTGTCATCTCTATAACTAGTCGGTCACAAGTGCCACCTACAAGTATTTACTTGATACAAAAATGCAGCTCCCATCTCCAAGATAGAGTGTATTCTGGAGCCAGTTGTGAGTGACCCATGGTCCAAGAACACAAATTCAGGTCACCCAAAATACTGTGTTTCATGAAGTTTCTATAGTGACATAACAGAAGAAGTTATAAATCAAGACACTTACAAAATAGGCCAGGCGTGATGGCACACCCCTTTAGTCCCAGCACTTGGGAGGCAGAGGCAGGCAGACCTCTATGAGTTGGGGCCAGCCTGGTCTACATAGTGAGTTCCAGGCAAGCTGAGGCTACATAGTGAGACCCTGTCTCAAAACTAACAAACAAATAACAAAATATATTGGTGGGAACATCAAGTAAGTTGGTTAGAGTAAAATGTCTGCTGCAGGCCTCAGATGCTATCCGGAACATTCTTAGCTCTGGGGTTGGTTGAAGTTAGAGGTCTGTTAATGCATCTCTGAAGGATTTCCCTGATCATCTCAAGGAAGTGAGGTCAGGCGCAGGTGGGCCATTAATTTGGCCACTGAGATGCCAAAAACTATCCGAGATAATTTGGCTCTGGATTTGCAACATTCCAGCTGTCCACAATCAGAGACTTCCAGTAACCCTTGTAGAATCTTTAACACAGGCGTGGCTTTTTCCCCTTTAGGAAGATCAGTTCACACAGTACATCTGTTGCCTACCCAATTTAATGCCATAAAAGCTGGGCTGTGTCCGTAGGGTAGCAATGGACCGAACAGGCCAACTGAGGATCTCAGTGACTGTAGGACACACACCTTTATGAGGCTGCTCTTCCCCTACTCTGGTTCTGTGGTCCAGAAAGGCCCAGATGCCTCTAGCTGCCCATTTTTGTTTTGTTTCACCATATGGGGAGTGACTTTGAATCCCACAAATGATACAGCCCCCCAAATGAATGTTCCCAGCAGCAGCTCCCCAAATGAATGTTCCCAGCAGTCACGCAGAACATGGAATCAGCTGGGAAAGCTGATGCTGGGTTCTGGAAAGGAGAGCAGGAGTGTTACCGTAGACCTCAGTTATCTTCTTCTCTAAGGGTCATGGCCTCAGCCGACCTCAACCAGGACGGGCACAGTGACCTCGTGGTGGGGGCACCGGGCTACAGCCACCCTGGCCGCTTCCAGATTGGGCGGGTATACATCATCTATGGCAACGATCTGGGCCTGCCCCCCATTGACCTAGACCTAGACAAGGAGGCCCACGGGATCCTGCAGGGCTTCCAGGTGAGATCTCCTGTCACATCTTTCCTCTCTTAGGGGTGAGTAAGCCATGGCTGACATTCTGGTATGTTTTCACTGTCTTTGTTTGTCTGGTACCGGGGGTTCAATCCAGGGCTTCTCACATATCAGGCAACTGTTCTACCACTGAGCCCCACTCCAGCCCCTCACTCAGGCTATTAGACAAGCATTCTTTTGCTGAGCCCTGACCCCAGCTCCTCAAAGAGAGTACTAAGCAAGCACTGTAGTGCTGAGCCACATTCCCCGAGTTGGAAGATTCTGGGTCAGCATTCTACCACTGAGCCGTCCTCCCAGCCCTTGTTTTGGGGAGTCTAGGCAGGCATTCTATCACTGAGCCATCGCCCTCAGTCTTACACAGCACATTTTGAGACAAGTTCTCCAGATGAGTCACTAGTGAGGAGAATGAGTAGTGTAGTGCCGCCTACACGGACGAAGTGCCTTCCTTCGCCACAGTCCCCTTCACTTCCTGTATCTCAGTCTGTTACTATTCAAGTAGGAAGTGCAATGCCTTCCGCAAATGTGCATGCTGTTTGCACCAGCTGCAGGTGGACATGTGGAATTCGATCCCTTTTCTATTTTAAGAGCCGGGGTCTCACACTGCAGCCCAGGCTTCCCTGGAATTCACTGTGTAGCCCAGGCAGGCCTTGAACTCTTCAATGCCTGTTCTTCCAGGTACCGAGGTTGGTAGTGTGAAGAGCTGCAGTTTCTCTACGATGCGGTGCGGTGGTGAACACAGACTTCCCGTATGCTTTCCATCATTTCCCCCGTGTAACAGTTTTCTACGATTATGGAGTGTTTATCAAAGTAACAGCCTGCCCTCGGCCCATCTGGAGTCCAGGCTTTGCTTAGATATCATTGCTTTGCTTTAAGGAGTTTTTCATCACTCGGGGAAACCCAGGCACTGTACATGTTTATCACCAAATCAGGGTGTTCATTCTTCTTGGGAGCACGTAGGGCCCTGGAGGGCTTTGTGGACCCGGAAAGCATTAGCCATTTTAGTAGCAAGGAGGAACAGAGCCTCGCTGCTGGTCACAGAAGAGGCTTTGGTGGCACTGGGCTGACCCTGAATCTCTGAGAGTCAAGTGCCTGGGATTGGGAACCTAGATTTGGGGGTCAATGGTGGCTGTCTGACTGGACTAGTTATGAATGCTGTGGGGAGAAGAGACGTCATCACACCTGTCTGCAGAGACAAAACAATCAAAAGTGCCACGGGCTTGTGATCTAGTTTAGGCTCTGAGGAAAGCAGTCCTGCCCTGCCATGTGGACGTGAGCTGCCTACCCAGTGTGTGGGGATACACTGTAAAGGCTGTTCCGTTTTCTGGAGCCTTCTGACACCACATGAAATAGTTCTAAAATAAGCCAAGCCATCCCTGTCTCTCTTCCTGCTGCACAGTCACTGCCGTTAGACTGATGGGCAAAGTCCAAAATTCTGGGCAGCCGCTTCCTGCACGATACGTTCTCTATGTCCACGTGGGATGGGAGGAGGTGGCTCCACAGCGCCCTCCTCCCCTGGGACCTTCGGCAGTTTGGAGGACAGCCAGAAGAGGGCATGGACTAGACTTTGGAAACCTGGGGCCCGCCCTGTGTCATCAAGAGCATTCCCTTTGTCCTTGGCTGTCGTGGAGTACGAGGGTTGCCGTTTCAGGTCTCCTCTGTGCTCTTCTGTGAACGAAAGGCTGGATCTCCACAGGGCTTAACAGCCCAGCTGCTGGAGACGTGACACAGCCTGTCTGCAGAGGGCAAGGCTCAGCTTGTCACTGGTCCTCACCCAACCCTAGCGTGCATCCAGTCCTGGGGTGATCCTCTGCCCTTCGTCATGTTCCTGGATCATTTCAAAAGGCCAGAAGCCACAGAGAGCTTTGCACACACCATAGGAGTCAGTCAGTGGATAATATATGGGGCACTGGGCCATCAGTGATGCGGCAACATTACCATCACCATTACCAGACAATTCCCTGTGGTATAAGCTGTGGAAGGCACAGAGAAGCAGCTGATGAGTCAGGGTTTAGGCTGATTGTAGACAGGAGCCGGAAAAATACCCATAGAGAAAAACTATGTTGGGAGCAAATTATGTTGGAATAGAACAAGTTTTCTCCTTATAAAAGGGATGTGAGGTTAGCAACAGCTAACTTAAGTTAGTAAGCACCTAACTTAATCCATGTAAAGCTCGGTAGAATCTTCTGCCATGATGGGGTGTTTGTGTATGTGAAATGGGACCATTGCAGCTGGGAGACAAGTTTTGTACTAATTGCTTTAAATTGAAATACATTGGCATCTTAGGCCAGAACCTGCCGTGCCAGGCAGTGCGGCTCTGCCACCACGTCACGGGTGCTTGACAGAGTCAGCGGCTGCTGCTGTTAGTTTGTGGTTGTTACTTTAGAAACTGTCAGCTAGGCCTGGTGGTATAGGCCTGCCAGCCTAGCTGCTCAGGAGGCTGAGACAGAAGGAAGGGTCACAAGTTCAAGGCCTGCCGAAGTTACAAAGTGAGTTCAAGGCCAGCTTGGGCAATTTAGTGAGACCCCTATCTCAAAATGAACAAACAAAACAAAACAAAAACAAAATACAAAAAGGGCTGGGGATATAGTTCAACAGTAGAGTACTTGCCTAGCATGTGTGAGGCGTTCAGTTCAACACCTAGCAACACACACACGCACACGCACACGCACACGCACACATCTGGAGCTCCCAAGGACTGTCTGCTTCCTTGTGCTTCGGCTTCTTCTCAAGACAGACAGACTTGCCTAAAGTCCCCCTAAGGCAGAGCTACCCAGATGTGTCCCAAATGTGCCACTGAGCGGTGAGGTTCTGGGCCTCAGCCTGTGGGTAATAGGTTGGGGCCCAGGCTCTCCACACGGGGCGTCTGGAGGCCACGCAGAGCCCAGAGGAGTCACATGTGTTTCTTCAGCCTTCAGGTCGCTTCGGCTCAGCTTTGGCCGTGCTGGACTTCAACAAGGATGGGCTGCCTGACTTGGCTGTGGGTGCCCCCTCCGTGGGCTCGGGGCAGCTCACCTACACCGTAAGGCTGGGAAGAAGGCGGAGGTGGGGATGGGGCCAGGGCCAGGGGACACTGTGCCTGGCAGGGAGGAGACAGGAACCGGGAGGAAGTGTGTTCTGGGGAAGAGCGGGGTCAGGTCCTCTGCCATCACAGCAGTGGCTACAGACTGGGAGGCAGGGATAAAATGGCCGTTTTTGTGTCTTGTTTTTCCTGCTTCGGGGCTCTCTTAAGTCTCGTGGAAGTGAAAGTTAAAAGAAATGCCGGGTGGTGGTGGCGCATGCCTTTAATCCCAGCACTCGGGAGGCAGAGCCATGCAGATCTCTGTGAGTTCGAGGCCAGCCTGGGCTACCAAGTGAGTTCCAGGAAAGGTGCAAAGCGACACAGAGAAACTCTGTCTCGAAAAACAAACAAACAAACAAAAAACAAAACAAAGAAAGGAAGAAACATAGCTAGGCATGGTAATGCATGACTGTAATCACTGCCAGGAGGCTGAAGCAGGAGGATAGCCACGAGTTCAAGGCCGGCCTGGTCTACATAGTGAGTTCCAGGTCAGTATGGGATAAATACATAGCCAAACCCTGTGTTAAGCAAACAACAATAATAAACTCTGGTGTCCAGACCGAGTTTCTGGGCATAGTGAGTCTCCTCTGTTTTGCTGTCATTTAGGGTTCTTGGCACCAGGAAAGCATTATGGTGTGTGCTTATTATTATTGTTGTTTGTGTTTGTCTAGGGTGCTGTGTATGTCTACTATGGTTCCCAGCAAGGGAGGCTGGCTTCTTCCCCTAACGTCACCATCTCCTGCAAGGTATGCCTCCGTCTCTGCTTCTGCCTCGTGTCAGGGCCTCGCTCAGCTGCCGCCCCAGGGCCTCTGGGGCTGACGGGTTCTGCTTTCCTGCTTGCCTCCTAAGGACACCTACTGTAACCTGGGCTGGACCCTCCTGGCAGCAGATGTGGATGGAGATGGCCAGCCCGACCTGGTGATCAGCTCGCCCTTCGCACCTGGCGGAGGGAAGCAGCGAGGGATGGTGGCTGCCTTTTATTCACACCCCAGGCAGAGGGACCAAGGTAGAGGCTGGGGGGTGGGGGGCGCGGAGGGCCTGCCCTTTTCCTGGAATGTGCTATCAGGTCACTTGATAAGAGCCAGGCTCTCATGCTGACAGGTACTGGCAAGAGATGGGGAAAGAATCGCCAATGAGGGCAGGTGAGATGTCTCAGTGGGTAAGGGGCTTGCTGCTAAGCCTGACAACCTGAGTTTGCTCTCCAGAATCCATAGAGTGGAGGGAGAGACCTAACTCCTTAAAAGCTGCTCTTCGACCTCCACATGCATGCCATGGCATGTGGGTAGTTGAACACACACACACACACACACACACACACACACACACACACACACGTTTAAAAAATAATGCTCATTGAGTATACAAGAAGTCACAAAGGGGACAAGAGGTTATTCTTTTTAAAGAAAAGCCATAATTTAAAAAATTGATTCTTGGGGACTTTCACATCATGCGACACCGCAATCCTGCTCATTTCCCAGTCTCTCCATATCTGCCCCTCACCCCTGTAGCATCTCCCCCAAAAGAAAATTTTTTAAAAATTAATTAAAAATAAAACAAAGCCAGCCAGCCAGCAAGCAAACAAACAAAAAACTCACTTCACTCCTGTCTTTCCTGCCTCTCCAACTCCTCTTCATTCGTCTTAGTGGCACCGGGAGCTGTGGTGTGTCAAGAAGGGGGGCCTTTTTGTCTACTCAGCTTTACTTGCAAGTGTTCATTGTGTGAGTTGTGGGTCAGGTTCAAGGCCTCTGGCTTCTGGTACACCATCAATGCTCGGCCCTCACCAAGACTCCTCTCAGATTTCCTGCTGTTGCCCCTGTCATGGAGAGCCTGTGGCTGTGGTTCCGCAGGGCCAATCTCTTCGTGCACTCAGAGATGGGGTAGATGCTGGGGTGTGCCAATTCAAAGCCTACATGGGTCTGGGTGAGAGCTGATTTGGTCAGTCCTGGCCACTGGGACGGGCCTCCTCAGGTGAGGGGTGGAGCCGGCTCTTCTACGCCCATATCATCAGGGCCAGCTCTCCCATGCCTGTGGTGAGGAGTGGGGACATCTCTCCCAAGTGTGGTGGCCCTGACCTCGGCCATCCTTATGGCCTTTGGTGGCAACACGGGCCACAGACATCAACATAGCTGTAGTAGGACCACAGACCCAGATGTGGTCCTTGGCTACAGCTCGGGGCCGGATGTCACCATGGCCCTGTGTGGCAGTGCAGGTCACTCAGATCTGTATGGCCCTGGCTGCAGCCATGACCCTCAGACACCAACATGGCCTCGGGTGGTGGCCTCAACCCTGGGCATCCACACGGCCTTCGATGGTAACAGGAGCCATGGACATCAACACAGATAGATGGGCCACAGACCCAGACATGACTCTTGGCCAAAGTTTGGGTCTGGGTGACACCATGGCCCAGGGTGGCAACACAGGCCACTCGGATCAGTATGGCCCCAGTGGAAGAGGTTATTCTTACAGCTGTAAAGAGTAAAATGCCATGAAGGCTGAGGCCAAAGTCATCCCAGTTGTCTCACTGCCCTGAGAAAGACCTTTCTAAATAGCATCTTCACCCTTTGGAAATGAGCTCCAGAATCACACTTCTTGTCTGAAGAGTGACATCTACTTCTGATGCTGGGGTCCTGGGATCCATATATGACAAAAGGGTTCTGGCAAGGTCTCAGAAGGGACCTGGTCCTCATATGTTCATGAACAAGATGCATCCTTTCAATTCCAAGTCCTCCCTCGTGCAGGGAATGGGTACCATTCAGTCAGTCATGTAGGGGTTTGTTTTTGTTTTAAGACAGGGTCTCATGCTACCCAGGCAAGTCTCAGACTGCATAGAGCCAAGGATGACCTTGAACTCTTGATCCTTCTGCCTCCACACCCCAAGTTCTGAGATGATATATGTGCGTCACCATGCCCATAACACACCTTTCTTTGTTTCTTTCATGTTCGTTTACTGGGACTGGGTGTCACTGATTGGTGATCGGTTGGTTGGTTGATGGAGACCGTTTTTTCTTTAGAAACACTGACTGCAGAGGAAGCTGACTGGAAGGTGAACGGGGAGGAGGACTTCTCTTGGTTTGGATACTCCCTTCACGGGGTGACAGTGACAAACAGAACCCTGCTGCTGGTTGGGAGCCCAACCTGGAAGAATGTCAGCAGGTCAGTGTTGACAGCGGGGGTGGGGGGTAGGGGGGTGGG